AGACACACAAAACGTGTTCAGCTCCATTGCCGCCCTCACTAGGGATTTTATATTTTCATCTTGTTCTATCTCTGCCATTTTCTCCCTCTCAGTCTTTATGTTAAATATTCAAGGCGGTAAGCAGCAGAATTCTATTGGCTACTGTAGGTCCAAGTAAACCATCAAATTTTCTAGAATCTGCTGAAGAACCACTGCCTGTAATAATTGTCCTAATCATCTGACTACTGAAAAGTAATCGCAATTAATGCAAAATGGTCAAGTAGTGAACAATGTGGCTGCCTCAAAAGGTGTTACTCAAAGGATGTTAGCAGGCCTGTCTCTCTACTGTAAACCTCTCAACTGCAGTGGGCTCTAAAAAGCCCCTTCCCTACTCTTAGGGGAGGCCCGTGGCCATCTAACTTCTGAAATTATTATCAGCTCTGTACTTAGATGATATCAAAATCCAGCTGAGGTATGGTTAATGCTGATCCTAGGTCTGTTAACTTGGATAATTTTTCCCTCTGCCCTACATATATCCTCATAAAAGATTAGAGCTAAACCCTCAGGGCTGCCTGATACAGTGAGTGTTTATATACCTACACACACACACACACACACACACAGACACACACTTAGCAAATAGAGCGGGCACACGTGTGCACTACAGCTGTCATCTACTATAACTGAGTAATTGTGTATAGCTAAAGAAATAAATGAATATGTGACAATGCTTTGATCAGTAACTCATTTTATGCTAGCTTACGTATGTATAAATGCAAATTTAAGTGCTCTCTCTCTATATTACTTACAGAGTGTATATGGGCTGTTTATGGTAAAAAAAAATTTATGTATTCCTTTAGTCATTCTTCCAAAATGTGCTTAGAAATGCTCATGATAAAAGGCTTAACCACGTCTCACTACACTATTTCCCACTGAAAATTATCTGAGAAGAAAGAAGAAGGCATAAGTTAGGATGCCCCCCAAATGCTTTTTGACTAGGGCATTTTCTTCTTTTTAAGACATTGACCTTTACCCTGAAGGAGGCAACATGGGACTGTTTCTGTTTCTTGAAAGGCATTAAATTCATTTCACTTCGATTTGCGAAAGAGTTATCGAGTGCTTTCATGAATGTCCAATGGACTGAGAAAACAGGAAGAAGAGGAACTCTCTGCTCTTAAGGAGGTTAACCACCCAGGGCAGCAGAGACTAAAATCCACACCAGGTAAGACGAAAACCCTGAAGGAAAAGCCATGATTATAAAGAATAAAAAGTGAAAGTACAGACAAAATTTAGTAAGGCATATTCTCAACGAACTGATGCAAGTTCAGAAAGGAAATACTGCACTGACTTATCCATATTCATGTATACCTTTAAATGCCATATGGACCAAAGCATCCTATTAAGACCCTCAAATTTAATTTTTAGAATTTCTCAACTCAAGGATCGCACTGTAATGTTAGAATCAAATAGAGGACTCTTTGAAATTGATGGAAGAAAAAAAAAAGAGAGCCCTAAGCCCTCCTTGAGCTGAAACAGATGGTATCCACTCAAAGGGCAGGAAGAATTTAAGCGTTTTCTTCATATGTTTGACATGTGACAAAAACGCTGAATGAAATCCTGCAAAATGATTATCGCTCAAGGCCTCCTGTTACGTCTAGAGGTACAGCCTGCTTTATGAATGCTTCGTTTTCAGATCAGTGAAGCTGGTTTCCAGGATTTTCCTTCTTTCACAATAGCCAAATTGATACTAAGGGTCAGAGTCTTTTGCAAAAAGTATTAACGTAGAGAAGAAAATCCATTAAGTTGAGGAAACTAACAAAACAGAATCTTAGGCTCGGGGACAAGAATAATTTATTTGTGGAATGTGGGACAATGAGTTATTTGGTCTTTCTTCACAAATGAGATAACTGTCACACCCCATCATGTCCCACTACCATGAATTATATATAACAACATTTGGTGAAATATGAAATTCTAAAAATACACTGAAAGGCTGGAGTCATCTTAATGGTTTATTATGATAGGTGTTCCTGGTTTTGAAATATCTTCTTTCAGGGAAGACAAATGGGGGCGACATTATTTTAGAAAGTCCACATCTTTTAAAAAGATGGATTAAAAGCTCTTTGAGACAGCTGTGCTGTTTTATTAGAAGAACAACATTTTCTTCCTAAATAGTCCTTGAGGGCAACTGCATGGATGATGGAATAATCAGGGGACACGGTGGGTTCCATTCAGAACTGAGGCTCAAGGAAAGGCTGCAGAGGACAAGACAACAGGGGAATCGCTTTTGCTCTGAATTTGTGCACGTGACTAAGGACAAGAAAGGAAATCAGACTTCAATCCAAGTAACGTTTCACTGCGGCTAATACTTGGCTTTGGAGTCAGAGGAGACAAGCCTTGAGCACCTTCTCTGATCTGTAGTCCCACGTGACCTTGGTCAAGTTCATAAATTCTCGTCACCTCCCTCTCTTCCTCTGTGACATGGGGATAGTATTTTGTACCTCTCTTGGTGGTTGTGGGGGTTAAATGAGGTCATGTAAGTAATGGGCTTATCGCAGGGGCTGTGCCTTGGATAGGTGAACAAACCTGCCACTCTGGAAACTACGGGGCTCAGTCGGTAAGCCCGTGAGTTCTGATACTCCAGTTTCCAGATCTGCTGTCTGCCTTCCAGAGTCACTGTGAAAGCCTGACTCGGTCTGTATGAACTCTAGTTGACTCGTCTAAAAAGCACAGATGATGTAAGCACTCACCTCTAAAGACACAAAGGTTAATCCCCAAATGTAAAGTGCTTACGACAGTGCCTGACACACCATTTTAACAACAGCTAACAGTGACAGGTATACACATGACCTTAAATAACAATTAATTCACACATAATATAAACATTCACAACTTCCAAGCTGCTGCTGCTTCTTTTCTTTTTTATTTTAAGGGTCTTCTGGTTTTGTTCCTTGTCTATTTTCCTATCTCCGAAGAGCTCGGGAGAAAAATCCTAAATATATAAATAACAGATTCACGAGGGCCCCGTGGAACACGGGCCCTGCACCTGTCAACACGTCACTCATAATCACGTTTCCCCGGCTCAAACGTGCACACCTGGGGAAGGTTGACAACTCAGTCTCCGACATCATCCCCCATTACAGTTAGGTAGGGAACATCTGGCCAATTAATTTTCATGTGGTCTAGGAAGCCGGATCACCAATTACAGCATTCAAGGGTTCCTACTTTCATTACCCTCCTAGCGTGAGCACACACGAGACTCGGGGAGCTGCTGGCTGTGAGAGCTGGCGCTGCTGACATTCCAGAGCAGGACACACAGAGAGGACCACAAATCATACAAGGCAGAACAGTAATTGGATAGGATGCTCTCTTCAGATTTCTCTTACAAATACACTAAGTGCCTGTAAGTAAGCCAAGTCAGCCAAGTTATGAATCTAAATACTCTGCCAAAGCTAGGAACTCATTTCCACTTGGGCTAACCACGAGGTCAGGCCAAAGTCTTCAAAACATCCTCACTCATTCTGTTTACTAACAAAGAAAAGGAAACCTAGTCTTCAGGGTAAGTATTAAGAGTTCCAAAAGTTTATCTTGAAGAGGGTGGTTCATTTTTAAATAACGAACTCTATCTTCCTATTACAAACAAATAATTATTTTCTACAGTGGCAATGCTCACCAAAAAAAGTCTCAGTTTGGGTCCATCACTGAAGCAGAAATTTAGGGGTAGGAGATGTTCATGCAGCTGGCTTTTCTCTAGGACTCGGTGCTCTGTGGAACTACCATTTGTCCAATAAATACAAGTCTCTGACAGTTCTGTGGTGAACTCAGCAGGGTCCAGGCTATTATTTCAGGCTTTTTTAAGAATAAATATCAAATAATCTGAAAAGACATCTTAAAGGGTAAAAGTGCAACCATTTCTTTTTTTTTTTAACGGTTGCTAGTGGTGGGGAATCAAAGGAGAATTTTCCTCCTCTTGGAAAGCAGACTTTCACTATGGCTAACGGAGAATATACATCAACAACGTCACAGGTGGCACAGAATTTCAACATGCCTGTTCAACACCTATAATCATCCTAAAGCAGGCAGGGTGTACTGGTGCTGGAATATTGGAAGAAAATTCAGTAATTACAACTTTGTACCAATGTATGTCTACATATGCATGTATAGGTTGTATGTTATGTGCACGTATGTTTACACACATACATGGTTTTAGAGTAGGTCAGAAGTTGTACCGGCGTCTAGAATTTTGCACCTGATGAACACTTGGTCCCTCACCAGAGACGATGTTGGTTAGAACTGAAGTATCTCATCTCCCCTGTCAATAGGTGGGCATATGAATCCAGCTTCACCAATCAGATCCTGGTTCCCAAGTCTCTCTTATGGCAGACCCTTGAAGAAACCACCCCCCTACTAGCTTCTTACCTAGATTTCAGAGCTTCTCCACTTTCCAGCCTTTTATGAGGCTTGACTGTGCAGCCATTCATTTGATTTTGTGAGACAGTCAATAGGCTTTCAATTTATTCGTTTTTCTACTTTCGTTCGTCAGTATTTGTGTCTGTTGCATGCAACCAATGGTTTCTGATTCGTGATGTATTTATCTCCCCAGGCTTAATGCAACCTCCCACTTTGCAAAAGTGGACACAGGATACGTGTCCTCTCCTGTCCTCATAAAAAGCAAGGCTACCCTGGATTTAACTTTTAAAACATTCTCACATTCACTTACATTAATAAAGTACTCTTTTAAGGCCAATGCAAATGATTTAAATATGTGTTTTGTTTTAGTTTTCACTTTCCTACCAACTAAAAACTTTAAAAAAATTAACTTCATTGGTTTTGACACATTAATCTTTTCTCAGTACTTGGACAGAAGCTGACTATATGCAAATAGGTTAGTTTCTGTATTTGGACATCAGTAGCAATATTTCTCCAAGTTTTAAATCATCTACATAGCATGTTAAATTATAGTGCCTCTCTTTCTTCTCTGACAGATTCCAACCTTTTGAGGCTCTGCCTTCTTTCTTTGCTACAGTAAATTGATCCTTTAAAACATCCAGGTGCAAATGAATTAATGGTCTTCTATTGTGTGTGAGAGTGATGGAGGCCCTCCCCCCTCCTCCTCCACATTGAGGTCCCTTCCCCTTCTGAGAAACCCACATATCAATTAAACTCACCTGCTAATTAAAAGCTTGTTTGGAAAAATCCTTGCTAGTTAGAAGCAAAAGAAGAGTGTAAAGGTGTCTAAAAATAGCGGCTTTGCATGTCAATTATTTCCTTCCTCCTCGGTTCCTGGTTCTTTGGGTTGAATTGAACACTGGCGAAGAGCTAGGAGAAGCAAAAAGAAGAAAGAAAAAAGGGTGAGTATCTTTTTCACCTGTTCTTCTCTGGGAAGCCTATCATTGGCTTGGTAGCTTCAGCTCTTTGTCAGCAACATCAAGATACAGTTTTTATTCATGAGATGAAAACACCATCTCACACTCCTCATGCAGCCACACTGCACTCCTGTACAAAGGCAGGAGAAACCAGAGTTCTTACGTGTTGACTGTCAACTCTCAAGCCAGAGCTTTTGCAAGCTGGAATATCAGAGGAATGAAACTGAGTGTGGAAACAATGCTCAGTTCTCTCCTTAATGACATGTGCTCTTAGATCTTCAACCACAGCCCCTTCCTGTCTGCTTTTTCCTGAGAAATGGGTCCTAAGGGTGGATATATACCAACGCTAAGTTGTCTTCTTTCTTTTCTCCCCCAGACTTAAAAGCTATATTGCTCTGAAGTAACATGCTAAGTATCAAACTATACAAAATAAAACTGTAAAAATAGAACCTGGGGGACTGGGAAAGTTACAGGTATGAACAAAGCCCCACCTTTTTTTTTTTCCATGTACCAAAGAGAACCAATTAAATTATGGTCTGCCTTAGAAAATGACGGCCAGTGTATCCATTTATTCATTCACTCGGTAGATTTTTGGGACAGGTCCACTATTCGGAAGTCACTGAGCTGGGAGGTGGTGTTTGAATTGTAATTATGATCCAGTCCCAACCCTGGAGGAGTGTATAGTCCAGGAAAGAAACTAAGAGTAACAGATATTCCAAGAGCTTGTGACAAAGCTGGTCACAGAAGAAACACAGGCAGCTAACTCAGATGTGGAGGGTTAAATGAAGGCTTTTAGAAATGGTTAACGTTAAACTAAGGCCAAAAGGTTGAAGATAGGTAAACAGGAAGGAGAGTATGAAGAGACGGTGCTGAATGGGCGCCATGAAAGCGGCCATGACACTTTGAGGGAACTGTCCATAGATATTTGGACCAGGAGCCAGAGACTGAAGAAAAATCCCAGAGAAAGAACAAAGTAGGATGGCATTTCAACCTGTCTTCTGTAATAATCATAAATTAGTGATTTTTTTTTCCTAATAGGATGTACAGATAGAAATAGGAAAGGACAAATGTTCTTCATTCCATGACTTCCTTTCTGATGTGCAAAACAAAATAGGGCATGTTTAGGGGGCTACGAAAAATATGGTTTACAAACTACTTGAGGGTTTAACAGATTACACATTTTTTAAGTCCAAAACAGATATATGCCATAGAGATTTAAATTAATAGGATTAAGGCGGACTGTATGTCACAGAATGAGGATAATACAGTGAGTAATATAGTAAAACCTTGTGAAAACATAAACCCTTCTTGGGAAAAAAAATGATTTTCCAGTATATTTATGTTCAAAACTAGAACATGCTTTGGAAACAAAAGAGAAGATGACTTCACACAATGGAATACTGTGTACCAATGAAATGAACACCAACATGATAATCTTCAATTCTGTTCAATTCAGTTCGGTTAAGAATTATTGAGTACCTACTATGTGTCGAGCATTTTAGTAAGCTCTAGGGCAATCTCAGTTGATGAATAATGCAGGCAAGTCCTGAAGCTGAGGGACTTGCAGGGATGATAGACTATTATCAAGAATCCTCAGGAAGTGTTCAGTGTTATAATACGTTCCTTCTATTCTATTACCTAGAATGTAAAGCAAGAAACTTTCTTACTTACAGCTGTATCCCTGTTGCCTAAAACAGTGCCTGGCTCAGTGACTATGTTAAACGTGTAAAGTCTACCTTGATGAGTGGTCTCTGGATATGAGCGCTTAAGCTCCAGTTTCAAAGTAGCACTAAGACAAGGCCCTCAATCTTTTTCTACATTTTGTTTTTGTCTGAGGTCCAAAGAAACTGCACTCCTCGCTGTGAAATACAAAATTCTTAGCTTACATCCTATAGCCCCAAATTAATCCTCCAAGTTGCAAATCACCCTCCAATGGTTTCTTGCGACAATTAAAATAAAATCGCACCTTTTGACTAAGACCTCTTATTCCTCCAACGATATCTCCTACTTGGTCTCAACATTCATCTGACATTTTTCGCACTCTAAGCACCCTGACTTTCTTTCTGTCCCTTCAGCATACCACACATGTTTCCATCTTATGGTCTTCGCCTTTTTCTCTCTGCCTGCAGTGCTCTTCCTCAAGAACTTTGCCTGGTTCACTCTCATCATAAAGGTCTCAGGCTGAATGTCATATCTTCAGTGGGCCCTTCTCTGACCATCCTTCTAAAATGGCCATGTTCACCCATCAGTATTATCTCCTCATGTCAGCCTGCTCCGTATTCTTCATAGCAATTCTTAGTGTTTTGACATTTTCCTCTTGTTTGCGTCTTTTCCCAGCCTCTACAACTAGCCTGTTAGCGCCACAAAGGAAACCATATTGTTTATCACTAAAGGAGTACCTTGTACAAAGCAAGTACTTAATGTCTGTTGACTGCATAAATGAATAAATTAGCCAATGATGCACCGTCCTTCATTTACGTTGCGAGGAACTCTGCGCATTGCTAAATGTAACAGAAAATCCAGGCAGTAGCCATAATATGACAACAAACCCAGTTTTCAGTGGTGTAGAACTAAGTGATAAGCCTGAAGGTGACATCCCTTCTTTAAAGGTACTTTTTTTTTAAATGCATAAAGGACTTGGAGGGCATTATACTAAGGGAAGTAAGTCAGACAAAGACACATTTCTGTATGATATTGCATCTGTGGAATCTACAAAATACAACAAACTAGTGAATAAAACAAAAAAGCAGCAGACTCACAGACACAAAGAACAAACCAGTGGTTATCAGTGGGGAGAGGAGAGGGGAGAAGGGGCAGCACTGGGATAGGGAAAGAACAAAAAAGGTTAATACAGGATTATTTGAAATCACGTGTATGAAACTTCTGAAAATTGTCAAACTCTGAAAAATTTTAAAAGTCTCATTTAATTAAAAAATTTTAAAAATATAAGAAAAGTCAAAAGCAAATCAATAGACTGTGATTCTCCGTATCCCCTCCACCCCTCAAAAAAGTGCTTACTTTTTTTCTTTAATTGAAGTATAGTCAGTTATAATGTATCAATTTCTGGTGTACAGCATAATATTAAAGATGAATTTATTCCAAAAAAAGTTTTAATCTGACAAATGACCCAATGGGCACAAGAGTATGGAGGGTAAAAACCTCCACTGTAATTTTCCTTAATATTTTAAACTTCAAATAGCTTTTCTAAATTGAGCATAAAATATCTTCACTCATCCTGACTATAAAGAAAAATACAGCATGAAGAATGTCATTCTGCAAGACCCATGAATTACTCCTTTTTTTTTTTTTTACTAAGGTCTAAAGTCTAGATTGCACCAGTGACTAGATCACTGCAGGGCAAAATTTGCACAAAAGAGAACAAAATATAGAATTGATTTTCAATGCTAGCATCATGACAGACCGTATTCTGAAATGCAAAGAAAGAAAGACACCGAAGCCACTTCTCCAGAGTTTAATGTCATATAAAATTACGAGCAAACGTTACATTGTGAGTGACCACAGTCCTTTACAAGAGTGATTCATATGGTCAAATTTTACTTAAAACAGCTGCTCATTTCACTGCTATGGAGAAGGTACAATTTAACTTAGGGAGGTAACACAGGGGAGTGGTTAAAAACATGGGTGTTGGAACCAGTAAACCCTAGATTCATAACTCATCCTTTTACTATCTATGAGTTCTTGGGCGAATTGACTGTCAGTTTGTGAATCACAGTTTCCTCCTCTGTAAAATACAGATAGTAATTCTCACTGCTGTGGAGCTGTGAGCCAAAATAGGATAATGAATGTGTTTAACATAGTACTTGACACATACTGAATGCTCAGTACACATTACCAATTATTATTAGCCTCATTATTTTTAGAAGAAAATTAAAAAAGTGAAGTGACATTCTAAAAAGTGTAAAATTAACCCTTAAATTCAACTATTTTAAAAGACTTTTGAAATTTAGGTACCTGAAAACACAGGCTTTAAAAAAATATTTTCCTTTAGCTGACAGTTTCTTTAATTTCTAAATGAACCACATTGTCTGCTCCACATCTCAGCTTTTATGCTTGCCCACATTTCATCGTGATTTCCCGGTGCTTCTTTTGGGTAATGTAAAATCACACTTCATTTTACTTTCTGTTTCATGTGCAGAGGCTATCATCCCAAAATGTCTGTGGTGTGTGCACAGTGCCCTCTCAGATCTCAAGTTTCTCTTAGGAGCTTCCTAACGTGCTCTGTGTCTACTTATCAGGAATTCGGGTAATTCTTGCTCATGTCACCGTTCCCTTCACTGAGCCAGTTCCCCTCGCTTGCATTCCACCGTGTCCTCCTACCCTGGGCAGAGAATGCCTACTCTACACCTTCAGAAAGCAATCAGTGAGCCAGATTTCAATATAAAGCTTGCACACAATTTTGTTTTCATCTTGTCTCCTATCCTTTTCATTCATCTGGTGTCGTCCTAAAATGCCCCAAATCAGGATACGTGCCGCAGTTAACAACAGCATGCAAAACTTCTTTCATCCTTCACAAGGTTAATCCTTTATTCTCTTTGAAAAACAGAATTCACCTTTTTTTCTCCTAGAGAGTAAGAATAATTCTGTTTTTGCAGAAATCTGTAATGTTTGCTTACCCTTGAAGCCCGTATATGGAAAACCAACTAGAGCAGGATCTTTTTTTTTTTTTTTTGGTTATTTGTACATCATACAATTTTTTAAAAGTCTATAATCAGCTAGAGTTCCAGAGATGTGAATTATTGCCTAACGACTCTGATTAATTAGACTGCTATTTAATTTTTGTAATTCAGCCTGAGTCTGAATAGTGCAAAATCCATTTGACCTGTATCTTACAGTCATCCCTTTGTCACAAGTCTCAGACCTTTATAATGATGAGCTGCTATGACTGGTAATCACCTTTGGACCTCCTGTTCCTTCTCTTTACAAATTAAAAAG